GGAACATATCTGACTGGGGATGATTTTATCAAGAGCAGCCAAAAACAAGATGTATGTCTGGATCTCACATGCAAAATACAAACAGCCTCATGTCACTGCAGGTTTACAAATCACTTCATCCACTTGGTGCGCAATATTACTGTATTAAATCAAAGCAACGTGAAACAGCCAGATCTTGGAGAAAGCCCGTATTCTATGTGAGGTAATGTCTTCGATCTCAATGCCCAATTTGATGTCCTTGCTATCAAGTAGGCAAATTATATTAAAAAAAAAGTTTTCAGAAATATACTATAAGAGAAATTTAAGTCAATAAAAGGATCAGGGTTCAAATGGAGAGTCTCTGTTGGATCGATGCCCACCCCCAGCACCACACTTCACGTTGGGACAAAGATCGGGGACAAAGACAGCAGAGGAGCAGGCCGCCCCCCCACGCAGCGCGTCTGACTCATGTAGCCGGTGCTTCAGTCCAAATGGAGCTTCCCTTCTGCTGATGATGGGAGTTTTAGTGAATCAAACCGGGCTCAGACGCTAATGTGTTGGCAGGGGTCCCAAACCTGTGCTTAAACAGCACACCATGAGAGTAAGGCTTTGACTGAATACTCCCCTAATAGGTAAAAAAAAAAAGAAACGAAGAAAATGTGATTTAAAAAGAGATGCTGCAGCAGATTGCAGGAACATCGAGTTCAAACCCCAGCTGTACCTGACGCTTCTGCTTCTCCTTGCTCAGACCCACGGTGCGTGGAAACCGAAAGCAGGCCAAGGTGGTGACCAATAAGTGCCCTAACAGTGATCACTGCTAAGAACTTCTGACAGGATTTTGGTTTCCTTCAAATGCATGTTGCATAGCATTGTGGGTAATTGGATTGGGTTCATCCAGAATCTGTTTTGTTTGATTGATGCTGCTTTATAAGAGTTCAGCCATCATTTGAACACATGACATGAGGGCAGTGGGTGGCTCTGTGGATCGGGACTCTGTGCCCATGAACAGAAGGTTGCCAGTTCACATCCTGTAGCTGGCGGAGCAGAGCCACCTCTGGGCCCTTGAGTGAGGCCCTTAACCTCCATGGCTCCAGGGACACCGTGTGACTCTGCTCTCTGATCCTCACCATTATGTCACTTTGGACAAAAGTGTGTCCTACATAGATACAATAAGAGAAAAATCTCATTTCTAAACAAATCCCTGCGTGTCTGGCTTTCAGTTCGGCTTCACTAATTTATTTAGAAGAGACTTTTTGCCAAAAGCAACATACAAGTAGGGTTGCAGGATTCTGGGAAAAAAAATGCAAATTGTGATTCTTTTGCTTAGAATTGAAATCATGATTCTTTGTAACGATTTTTTTCTTAAATTTGAATGTTTATTGCTCTCCTTAAACTGCAAAAGGAAACACAACAAAACATGACTGTGCCAAACATATGATTGATCCAAGACCGGCATAGCAACTTCTGACAACAGAAAGGAAACGCTCAACTGGCCATTCAATTAGGGTAACCAGAACAGCCAGACCAAACTTTCCAGACGGTCTAATGAAAGAAAGGGCCAGTGGGGTACTTTTCTGGTACTTTGGGTGGGACTTGAAACGCTCTTTTTGTCAATCGGTTAAGCAAATAGCCTGCCTCTGAAATGCAATCAGTCTCAGCTGAGCTAATGGTGAAAGACACAAGTTCACAACTTTACTTCCGGAAAAGAAAACATGCAACTGAATGGGGGAATCGTGCTCCCCCTCGATCTGCGACATCATCATCATCATCATCATCCACTGTTCCTGCCCACGCTGGATCCTCCGCAAAAAGGCTCCCTTAAGGAGACAAACCCAAAGAAAGAAACGTACCACACGTCCACCTCCATGCCACAATCATCATGCCTAAATGAAGCCCGGCACATAGCAGCACTCAGCAGGGGAGAATCATGTGACTGCTCAATGGGGGAGGGGCTTCAAGTTCAGCCAATTACAATGCAAGCCATGGGCGTACAATCACAGGACTGACCAGAGCTTTTTTGCTTTCTAGTGAGAATGAGCAGGCCCTTCTTGTATATATCAAATGAAAGCTATTTCAAATACAAGTCACCAAATGGAAACTGGTCTAATTTCAACTTGTCAATGCAGAAACCCTGAGTGGATGCCAACAGCAAAGGCTTCGAGTCACTGTGGACAAAAGTAAAGACATTTTGATACGATACAAATCCTTTCGCGTGACCACACATTAGGCTCCCTCAGAACATGCCACACAAATACATGTGCCATCTGAAAATCTGTAGGAAAGGCTTTTTGTGCTAGACCTTCAAGCACAAAGGACTCCGAGCCCCAAAACAGTTTATACCATCTCTCACAAACCTTGATTTAAGGCCCCGTTCTTGTTATCTATCCATGCGTAACTGCAGACTGCAGGCACAGTGGCCTCAAATCACCCAGACCCTGTCGATCCCTAACTTGAGCTCTCCCACCAACCCTGCACCCTCAGAGTGCTAGTGCTTTGAGACAGAAGTTCAACCCCCAAGTACAAAATGCAACCGAGAATGAATTAACTGCAGGCTTTGCATTGGGTCAATGATGGACGGCAACTGAAGGCTGTACGCGGGGACACTGCTGGGCGGTAGGCTTGCCACGATAGACGGTGTTGACGGTGTTTCCGGTTTTAAGACGCAACACCGGTGACATCACTTTCCCACCGTGATACCGTCCCCACATTTATTTATTTTTTTTAAAGACTGCTGACTTGTCATTTTTGTAGCCTAATGTCATTTTGGAAGTTTTTCTTTTATATTCGTTTCTTGTTCATTCGTTTAATCTTATTTAAACTTTATTTATT